TGTACCCCGCAAAACCATAATAAAAAATATTGATTTAATAAAAAAAAAAAGACAATGGGTAAGAGATTTGATCAGTTATACTTCACCAAAGATTTCTGGATGACAAATACACACATGAAAATATGCTGAACATCATTAGTCATTAGGGAAATGCAAACTAAAACCACAATGCGATACCACCACACACCTGTTCAAATGACTAAAATCACACAACCTTTGGGAGGCTGAGGCAAGAGGATTGCCTGAGCCCAGGGGTTTGTGTCCAGCCTGGGCAACTGGGTGAGACCTTGTTTCTACAATATATCAGCAACAGCAACAACAAAAAACAGCCGGGCTTGACACCAAGCGCCTCCAACTACTTGGAAGGCTGAGGCGGAAGGATCACCTGAGCCCAGCAGGTCGACGCTGGGGTGGACAGAGTGAGACTCTGACTCAAAATAAAAAATAAAATAAAATGAAACCACACAGGCTGACCATACCAAGTGCTGGTGAGGACACAGAGCAACAGGAGCTCTCATACACCACTGGTGAGACTGAAAAACTGCACAACCACCTTGGAAGACAGTCAGTTTCTTAAGCCAAACATGCACCTATCACATGACTTTTCCACCCCACTCCTAAGCATTTACCCAGGAGAAACACACGAAAGCGTATGTCTGCACAAAGACTCGTATACAATGTTAACAGCAGCTGACTAGAAATAACCCAAATGTCCATTGTCAGATGAGTGGATAAGAAAGTTGTGGTATCTCCAAGCATGGAACACTTCTCATTAAGAAAACACAGGGCTGGACTCAGTGGCTCAGCCTGTCATCCCAGCGCTTTGGGAGGCCGAGGCGAGAGGCTTGCCTGGGCCCAGGGGTTTGAGAACTTGTATCTACAACAAATCAAAAAATTAGCCAAACATGGTCGTGCCTGTGGGGTTCCAGCTACTTGGAAGGCTGAGGCGGAAGGATCGCCGGAGCCCAGTAGGTCGAGGCTGGGGTGGCCGTGAGTGTGCCCCTGCCCTCCAGCCTGGGTGACAGAGTGAGACTCCAATTAAAAAAAAAAAAAAAAAGTACAACAACGCCTGCCACGTGCAATGAACCTCAGAGTAGTTGCACTGTGGCAGTCGACTAGACATGCCGAATGCTCCTGTCCTGCACAAACGAGTACAGGTTGTGCACCAACCTATGCCGCTATACCAGAAAGCGGATTAGTGATTCCTTGCTGGGGGAGGGGAGAAAAGAAACACCAGGAGCCATGAGGAGTCCCCAGGGGTGACGGAGACGTTCACACCCTTGATTGTGGAGATGCTTTCCCAGGTGTACACACGGGTCAACACTTAGCACACTGCACTCTTTAAATATTTGGAGTTTACTGATTACATACTTCAGTAAAGCTGTTAAACAAATAAGCCCTATCTGTGTCTGGCATGCAGTAGTTGCTCATTGAAAGTTAGCTCTTGTTTTTGAGAGCTGACTTCCACAAGGTCAAGGGCTTGAAAGGGGCTACGCGGCTTCAGGGAGGGGCCCCGTATCTCCTTTCCCCTCCCCTGGTAAGAGCCGGGCAGGGTCCCCCAGACTCGGCAGGAGCCGCAAAGGCCGAGCTCCTTGCAGCTTCCAGTGAAGTTCTGGCGCCCTCTGGTGGCCTCCAGGGGCATGGCAGGCTGAGGTCCCGTCCCCCATTCTGCAGGGGTAAGCGCCCTCCCCCCCTCCTGCCCTCCCACACATCCACGCTGACCCAGGTGCTGGCCTCCGCTGGGAACTAAAGCCTCCACTGCAGAACTAGGTTATTAACGTGGGATCTTCTTCCTCCTTGGACCGAGGTTCTGCCGCCTGGTGGGCACTGAAGCCCTGCCTGGTTTTCTCACCCCACAGCAGACATCTCCCTGCTGCCCCCCACCAGGAAGGTTCATGATTGGGGTAGGACTGGAGGAAAAAGCGTCCCTCTGAAGCCTCGGGTCAATCCAGTGGCAGCCTGTCCATTTTATTTTATTTTGAGTTAGAGTCTCACCCTGTTGCCCAGGTTGGAGTGCAGTGGCATGCTCACGGCCACCATCGCCTCAGCCTGCTGGGTTCAGGTGATCCATCCGCCTCAGCCTTCGAAGTTGCTGGAATTACAGGCACGCACTACCATGCTGGCTAATTTTTTGATTTATTGTAGAGACGAGGTCTTGCCAAAATGCCCAGGCTGGTATCGAACCCCTGGGCTCAGGCAGTTCTCTCGCCTCGGCCTCCCAAAGTGCTGGGATTACAGGCTTGAGCCGCTGTTCCCAGTGACAATGCTTTTTTTGTTTTTGTTTGTTTTCTGGTTTTTTTTTTTGAGTTGGAGTCTCACTCTGTCACCCAGACTGGAGTGCAGTGGCCGCTCCCGGCCAGCACAGCCTCGACCTGCTGGGCTCCGGCGATCCTTCTGCCTCAGCCTTCCAAGTAGCCGGAACTACAGGCGTGCCCTACCACGCCTGGCTCACTTTGATTTATTGTAGAGATGAGGTCTCGCCAAGTTGCCCAGGCGGGTCTCGAACCCACGGGCTCAGGCAATCCACTCGCCTCGGCCTCCCAAAGTGCTGAGGTTACAGACTGAGCCACCAAGCCCGGCCGACAACCTGTTTTTAACAAGCCTCATGCTCAGACCACCATCCCCTCCTCCCACCCTAGACCAGCTCCAGCCGCTGGTCCCTTCCTTCCCTCCCACCCGCTGCTCTCGCTCCACAGGTGGCCAGGGCAAATGCCTCAATGTCTGTGTCAGATCCCAAGCCCCAACGCCTTCTCCTCTCATGACAGTCCTCACGGGGCCCGGCTGCCATCCCCCTCTAGACAGACAAGGGCCCTCGAGGCGACATGGTCCTGTCTTGGCAGAATGTAGTGCCAAGTCGACTGAGTGTCCTTCTGGAAGCAAAAAGGAACGGCGTGACCCCTACCTCTCACTGTCTAGGGGAATCAAGATCAGGAAGCTGTCAGATCCATGTGTGAGAGGTGAGATGGTGGCGTGAGGAAGGGCGTAGGGGCTGGTCGCAGGTCCACACAGGAACATCTCATGATGGCATCATGACTTTGGGGCAGGCAAAGGGCTCTTCAAATGGCCAGAAAAAGTGCTCACCAAAAGCCGGGCTTGGTGGTTCAGCCTGTAATCCCGCGCCTTTGGGTGGCTGAGGTGAGTGGATTGCCTGAGCCCGCGGG